AAGAAAATTTATAATAAACAGCTGAAACTGATCATAAATGGGTAACCGTGCAGTAAAACAATGCAAATTAACATTGGACATCAAATTTATTTCAATTTTCAACATAATATTAGTTGGCGTTAATGTGACAGTAACAAGCAATCTGTACAGCTGATAGCACTTGAAACAATGACAATCACCTGTGGAAAGAATAAATCTCATACGTAATAGGGGCCAACAATGCCTAGCATAGCATAGTATTTCCAAATATCCTATTCAAATACATCATTATCCAGTCCTTAGAAGAGTTCACTAATACCTTTCCGTTTTAGGCACGCATCAGACACAAGATGACCTTCCCTCAATTCCAGTAGATAAAGCCCAGAATATACGTCATTGCACTACTTTCTTTTTCAATGAAAAAAGTATGTAGATTCATGCTTGTAACTTCAAATTAATGTCTCCCAAAACTTCAAGAATTTTTGTGATGTAACTCGCATATTTTATTAAATAGACTTCCAAGTGAATTCTGAGAGTAGCCTAGGTCTCCACTAAAATAAACCAATTTCTAATATTCACCCTTATAATCCTCGATCAATCAACAAACAGGCTAAAAGGTTCTGGGGGGAGTATCATCCAACCTTTTAGAATATGCTAGGTACTACTGAACTGCCATAATTCTATTCTTATTGACAGTTGAATCACAGCTTTTGACCCTAATAACTTGGACGTTTCAAAAATCCACCATAATTAAAAACAAAAGAATAGAAAAAATCCAAAAAACTAATTGGCTTGATCAACTATGTGGCATGCCACACCCACATATGAATTTACATATCTTTCAATTGCTTCCTCATTCATCAGCAACTTGCAAACTATAGATGCTATTTGACTTGTATTACGCGAAAATAATCAATATTTGGAGCTCGGATGTCGCATTGTTCTTGATTAAAATAATCAATATTTGGAGCTATTCTTTGGGGTTGGAGGGGTGAGGGGGAACAGAATGAGGAAGTTGCTCACCCCGAAGGTAACCAATCCAGGACCTCTTGCATTTGGTCTTAATCCTTCTACACTGTCATTTTCTGTGGGATCAGACCTACCAGAAAAATTCACATGTAAGATTTGAGCTGATAAAAGTTGAATGCTATTGAAAACATATAGCAATGGCATTCACCGACCATAACAGGTCCATCAGGACAATCGATCCGGCTTCCATTGTAATTGGGCGCTGAATATTTTCAATCTGTTCTACATGGTTTATTGATCTTCCTATACCACCATGCATACAAATAATTTTTTTCTCGATTAATGCCGCCAGGGGGAGCCAGTTGAATAATCTGTTTATTCGATGCCATGTCCAGATTCCATCTCTCTCACCCTGTTCACGACATGATCATGAGGTCCACAACTTTATTCAGACATAAAAAAAAGAACAAAATTGATCATTGTTACCATGCGTTCAATGCACTCAATTCGAAAACCAAAAAGTGCATTGATATCTGCAGCTTCATGATTACCGCGAATCAAATGCACTTGATGCGGATGCTCAACCTACAAACAGAAGCACGTATCAATATACAAGTAAAATAGTATCATAGCACTGTACTGACAGAGGCCAATTACCTTCAAAGCTAGGAGTAGAGTTATGGTTTCCAAGCTGTGCTGGCCTCGATCAACATAATCTCCCAAGAAGAGATAATCAATATATCTGATAATCATCAATGCAAAAGTAGCCACACATCAGAGGTAGACAAAGTTTAAAAACAAATGTAATACTTTAAATCAAACAGCAATAGAACTAATTTTGGCCTAAATGATGAAAGTTCAGTAAGCAGCAGACAACACCAAGTCTCAAAGCAATGTCAAAATAAGCAAGTAAACACCAGCCTATTTTTAAGAAATCTAGATAATGAAACTGAATCCAAGAACTTGAGAATTTTTTTGGGGACACATAGAAGAATGTCATGAAGTCAAAACTTACGCTATATCCCCTGCAGTTGAAGGGGATCCATACTCATCAAAAAGGCGCATAAGATCCCCAAATTGTCCATGCAAATCACCAAATATCTTAATAGGAGCCTTGAGCTGTAGTACACTAGGTTCAATTGCAAATATTCTTTCAGCACTATCACAAAGATCTGCTATCTCGTTGCAATCCAAGAAAAACTGTCTGCGAACTGGAGGCTTCCAACCACGAGGTTTTAAAAGATGAGCAATCACCTGGGGAGGGAAGAGACAAGCCACGATAAGATAGTGTATTTTACAATTACCAACAAAACAAAATAGTATTGTCATAATATCATAATAACCACAACAAACTAAACAGATTTGTCAAAAAACTTTCAACTATATTTTAGGTAGAGTACAGAAATTAGAGCTTAAAGAAGTAAATTTTATATCATGAATAAATTTGCTGATATCTCTTGTTGTGATAAAGACAGGAATAAATAACCTTAAAGTCCTACACGATATGATTTATTATATTATGGAGAAAAGGAAAACAATACCTTCTTTGGTACGCTATTAATAGACATTTGACGATCTAATAGCTTCCTAGCTGCTGTAGCATTTTCTTGAGTTCCATAACTGACACGTCTGCCTTCATTTTCAAATTGATCGATTGAAAGCTGTCTGGCCACACCTAAAGCACCACCAGACTCCGCAGCTACAACAACCTGCAGGTGTATTAATGGTATGTAATGAAACCTTTAACCAACTGAATTTTGACCATGAATAGAATAGACTTGAGTTCATGAATCATCTAGATACTAACAGCACGGTGATGAAGCCTAACTCCAGCAGAAGTAGAATTATTAGAAACTTCCAACTCTGGCTTAATCAAGGTAGAGATCTGTTTTCCACTGGGGGTTGCCTCTGCACCCCGATCCCTATCTGGAAGCTCAATTTCTCCATTAACTTGCCGAGCTTTAGCAGCAGCTAATGTAGCAGTAATAGCTTCAGCTTCTGCTGCCGCAGCCTCAACCAAGTACTCAACACCTTTGTTCTGTCTTCTGAAAAGCATGCCACAATTAATACCTGAACTTGAAGCGACTCAAAGAGCCTAACTATCAACAGATACAAAATTACAGAGCATAAAGCAATGCAGCATTTAGTAGCAAGCATACCGGGAACCTTGAAGCATTGCATTTTCTGTGCTAATATCAGTATACATATCCCCATTTAGAGGGGGAGCAACGGGAGTTCCTACCACAACGTCACCATCAGCAGCAGCACCAGGAAGGCTTGTCCCATCATCAACGAAAGCATATCTACCTGATAACCTCCCTTGCAGCACATTGGCTGCAGCAGCTGCAGCTGCTGCATGAGAAGCTGCACTAGTAGTTTCAGCAGCAGCAAGATCTTCAGCGACAAGCAAGTCATCCAGCAACACCCCTATGGCAACAAACACGTCAATGATCAATACCATTTGATTCCATACTCAAATAACTAAAACCTAAAAATACTACAAGTTGGTGCTAGCCCATATGCAAAGTTGTGCATCAACAAATCTATTGAACTCAACTATCCATTGTTTAGAAAAAATAATTGAGACTTACACCCTGAGACCCAACTCACATGAGATTTTCATTAAACGCTTCAAAGCTGACACTTCAGTGCCTTTCTTAAGGCCGATGCCTCAAGACTAAGCCTTAGGGCCACTAAGGTACATGATCGTCAGTCATGTCCTAAGGAATTCCTATTGTTGGCCTTAGCTTTTAGGGTTATTNTAAGCCTTAGGGCCACTAAGGTACATGATCGTCAGTCATGTCCTAAGGAATTCCTATTGTTGGCCTTAGCTTTTAGGGTTATTTTTTACATTCTACAATGTTAAGGGTTTTTTGTTTTCTTTCTTATAGATTATTTTTATGCTTTTTTGGGGTGTGTCTTCGCCTCAGCCTCACTTAGGTAAAATGCCTTGGTACCCAACTGAGCCTTTTGAACATTGCCACTATCCCAAATCTACCACATATCCAATCTGAGACAAAAACCAGACCAAGAACTAGGAACATATAATCTAGACCCGAGAGTAAGGTGAAAACAGAAAAACCTCAGAAAAGAGAAAAAAAAAAATATGAAACGTCAATTTTAACTTGTACTTCAGCAGTGTAAACAGAAATGAGTTGTGAAGATCAGCATGGGACTATAGCCACAGACCTATGTAAAGAATGCTCTGATTGTGTGTGCGTACTTAAAACATATGAACAATGTTCCAGTAGATGAATTTGGGCAATAGCATATTGTAGTTTAATCAAACATCTTAACATGCCACTTGCATGAACGACTCAACTGACTTGTTACCTATCATAAACAAACCTCCCAACATGCCACCTAAAGAAACACTCAAATGAGAAACCTGCTGTGGTTCTTCCGCAATTTTCAGTCTTCTCACCACTTGAACTCAAAAATGATGCTCACAATCGCTCAAAAGAGCAAGGCTACGATTTTATTCATAGAAAGCACGATTAAGCGTCTCAAATATGTTGAGCATCTTCATATTCAGCAAACAATAATTATAACGAGCTTCTAAACTTATGATTGGGTAACTCACTGTCACTTTTTTCAGAACCTCAGTGACAGAAGCAAATAGCAGTTTGGTATTATTGCCTGCATTAGCAAATTACAATATGCCATTCTCGATGTTTTAGGGTTTGAATCCAGTGAAATCCACAATTTTGACATGTAGATCTTTTCTTCACCTATGTCCAGCATTCCAATTCATTTCCCATTCCCAGGCTCACCTCATCTGGGAACACAAAGTACTGTCTAAAGTAACACATCACTATTAAGAGGTCAAGTACTTTCTGAAGGTCTAGAGATCCCACAAATCTCTCTCATATGTATGAGCGGTGTCAATGTAATGGACATGTATATTTACTGTATATCTGGACCATTTGATCCATAACAACTATAGTTTTCTGAAATCAATTCAAACATGCATAGCTGTTGATGAAAATTGCATCACATTCTCCCATGATTCCCAGAGTTAAATCAAGTCCTCTTTGCCTAATATCCTTAACATGTTAACCTACGTCATAATTTTCAACAGGAGAATTTGGTCATCTTTCTTTTCCAATTACAGGTATCCAGCTTGTACTATTTTTCACCCTTAGAAATCAAGTAAATCTCACATTTTCAAAATACAGTTGCTATTTGTAGATTCTCAGATACTCCAGGCAGTTTTAGGAAGTGATAGGAAATAGGAAGAACTACGAGGTAACATTTTTGTATATTGATCTCTGAAAATAGAGCTTAGTGAAGGGTATAGCATTAATTATCTGACCAGATCAACTGTGATAATCTAGTAATATTTACAGTTCAACATAAAATTACTTGGATTCGAGAACAGAAGCCGCACTTTACGACATTAGTCGCATACATATCAAGTCCTTTTTTAATGAAAATAATCGCATATATCAAGAGTCCCAATATTTTTCTTAAAGAAAAGTGAAAGCATACTTGATAGTCAGATCAAGTTAAAGGAGTTGAGGCCTTGCAAGAGAATCAGGAAAACAAAGATCAAGTTATCACAGAGATGAAATAACAAAAGCACCACTGATTATTACCACCTCAAAAACCAGAACCAATTAGGAAAGGATATCTTACTAATAGTCCAACAAAATGACTTACCACCACGAAGACCACCGTAGATAAAGATCAAGTCACCAACAGCAGCAGCAGCATGCCTACAGCGCCTCGTCAATTCTACGGCTGCATCACCACCAGCAGCATCAGCACTGTATCTACCAGTCCTTGGACTAGTGACAACAGACTTTGTATCACACCAAACTCCTGCTGCAGTGTCCAGAACTACACAGAAAACAACCGCATAAATTTTTTGAAAGAGCTTGATGTAATGCACATGCTTTTTATAACGGTGTCCTAAGTGTTCGGTGGATCAGAAAAGAAGATAAAGAAAATGTTAACAGAAAACTAAATAAATATAAGTACCAGCAACACTTGACGAGTCTTCTACCATGCGTCCACCACCAAGAGCCCCTCCAGATACATGAAGACGAGCATTAACAAAAACCTAAAAACACCAGGATATATATAATTATCTCTGCGAAGAAAAGGATGGAAAGTGATATTTGTCTTTGCAACAAAAGTTTACTAAGAGAGCTACTCAACGAAAGGACTTACTGCTGCATGTTGATATCTGGGAGATGGTGAGACACCAGGAGCAATGGCCCATTCCCAACGACCATCCCTGTGTTTGGCAAGCCCATAAGCACTTGCCAGTGGCTGCAAAAGATTATATGAATAGAAGTGTTCAAACAAGGAGGTTAGTATAAAGTGCCAATTGATCTCAATGAAATGCCAGTATGAACAACTGCTGACAAAATCCTACAGAACAAGCCATGCATAGCTACCTTCCCACATAGGAGTAAACAGGTTCTGTGATCATAATAGGCATCGAAATGGACTAAATTTGATGTGAAAGTTGTTAGCACTAAGAGGTAGACACTTTGGCCCACCGAATTTCAGCTCCAGTAATGAAGTTTTCCATTCTATCAACCTTTAGCTTTACAAGCCACCAAAACTTATGAGAATGTATGTAAATAAGTAATTTTGAGCCTGTTTGGGAGTGATTTTGAGAATTAATTTCTTGACCGTTAAGAGAAAAGTGGGGTCCACCTGTGAGAGAAAAAGTCAAATATGACGGCTAAAATAGTGAAATAACGGTCAAAAAATCAATTTTTTGGGAGAAAAAATCGCTCCCAAACAGGCCCTTTACCTTCAAGTTATTATTTTTTTTTTATTTTTTTATTTTTTTTATTTTTTGGGATAAGTAATCAAGTAATTTTATTAATCATGGGTGTATTATCAATTTAAACAAGAAAGAAACGAATAAAGTTTGGCAGTTCTTCTACATGATTAGTGGCTGCAGCCTTAAACCAAGTATACAAAGCCATATAAAACAATTCTCTAATTTACTCTGTTGTTCTTGCTTAATCTTCGAAACAACGGTTGTTCTTTCCTCTCCATACACACCATAAAATGCATCCCAGAATAAGGTTCCACGCAAGCCTACTATCCTTATCTCAAAATTTTCTCCTCCATGCCCGCAACACATCCTCCATACGTCTAGGCATCACCCAATCCATATGTTGGGAAGCTAGAATAGTGTTCCACAACAAACACCTTCACAATGGAGGAACAAATGGTCATTCGTTTCCCCGTATCTCTTGTACATATAACACCATTTGGTAACATAAAAATCTTTTCTACGAAAATCATCCACCGTTAATGCCTGTCCTCTCACAACCGTCCATAACAAGAAAGCCACCCGTGGGGGCAATTTACATTACCACACCATCTTCCAAGGAAATGAACTCTCCGTCGATCCCAATATGCATCTAAAATAAGTGCAAACTGAAAAAATACCATCCCGTGCCAACTTCCATCTGCTCCAATCACCCTCTCCCACCTGAATATGCACCTCGTGCAAGGAGGTCAAAACAGTGCATAATCATCCAATTCTCAATCCTGCAAACCCCTCTCAAAGGCAATATTCCAACTATAGTTTCCATTATGTAAGGCTAGGACATCATTCACCATAGCGGAAGGCTCCAAGGCAATGCGATGCAACGAAGGAAACAGTGACAAGAAATCGGTTGGGAGATTAGACAGAGTGGATTTAATGAGAGTAAGACGACCGCCCTTCGAAAGGTACATACGCTTTCACCCCGCTAACCTCTTCTCCACCCTTTCGACAATTTCATTTCAAATATGTTTACTTTTAAACTTTGCCCCTAAATTTACCTTCCAGTTCTATACACAACATGTGAGTTTACCCAAACTTCCCATAAAGTAAGAATGCCAAAATGAATAATAGGGAAAGAAGATGAAACCATAGGTCCCCTTCATTCTAATTAATCTAGGACTAAGACAACTTTAGAAAGGTGAGATGACATAACCTATTATAAATAATGGGTTAACATAAAAACCATTTCTACGAAGATCATCCACCGTTAATGGCTGCCCCTCACAACCGTCCATAACAAGAAAGCCACCCGTGGGGGCAATTTACATTGCCACACCATCTTCCAAGAAAATGAACTCTCCGTCGATCCCAATATGGATCTAAAATAAGTGCGAACTGAGAAAATATCATCCCGTGCCAACTTCCATCTGCTCCTATCACCCTCTCCCACCTGAATATGCACCTCGTGCAAGGAGGTCAAAAACAATGCATAATCATCCAATTCTCAATCCTACAAACCCTTCTCAAAGGCAATATTCCAACTATAATTTCCATCATGTAAGGCTAAGACATCATTCACCATAGGGTAAGGCTCCAAGGCAATGCGATGCAACGAAGGAAACCGTGCCTTTAGCGGATGATCTCCACACCAACAATCATCCCAAAATCTGATACTATTGCCATTCCCCATCACATAAGTCAATTTCTCTCGAAAGTCATTCCATCCTCGTCGGATATACTTCCACAAACTCACCCCATAAGATTCACAACCCTCGATCGAGCACCAACCCCCCTCCATCACACCATACTTCGCTCCTATGATTTGTCTACAAAGACTCTCCCTCTCCACTCCAAATCGCCACAACCGCTTTCCCAATAAAGCCTTATTAAATAGAACAAGGCTCCGCACTCCAAGGCCCCCCATCCTAGCAGGAGAACAAATCACATCCCAATTAACCAAATGAAATTTCCTCTCTTCCCCGAGCCCTGCCCAAAGAAACTCCATTTGAATCCTCTCTAATCTGTTTGCCATTGTATCAAGGATAGGAAACAGTGACAAGAAATCAGTTGGGAAATTAGACAGAGTGGATTTAATAAGAGTAAGGCGACCTCCCTTTGAAAGGTACATACGCTTTCACCCCGCTAACCTCTTCTCCACCCTTTCAACAATTCCATTCCATATATGTTTACTTTTAAACTTTGCCCCTAAATTTACCTTCAAGTTCTATGCAAAACATGTGAGTTTACCCAAACTTCCCATAAAGTAAGAATGCCAAAATGAATAATAGGGAAAGAAGATGAAACCATAGGTTCCCTTCATTTTAATTAATCTAGGACTAAGACAACTTTAGAAAGGTGAGATGACATAACCCATTATAAATAAGCAAATAAAGAATTTTATTTTCAAGGAAAACTTATTGAATTTTCATTATCAAACAAACCACACACGATAAAAGGCAAGTGCACCTAAGCATATCAAAATCGCCATGATGTGAAATCGGAAATCACACTAACCACACTACTTGCATCCCTCCCTCCACATAGTAGTAGAAGACCATCAGAGCGGGCGCTGGCAGTCGCATACCTAGGTAAGGTGATAAGCAAATAAAAGATCAAAACAGTCATTCTACACACATGCATGTATGGCTCTACATGCCCATTCACAGTCAATCATGAAATGTCACGTAAAAGGATATTGCCATTTCCATTTTTTACAAGTTTACAAACTAATTAACAAAAGAGACTTATATTATGCAGCTCAACCATTTCAACATGGGACTCTCCTAGCTCACACAATGTGAACGCTAGTAGAGAGTATAAGACAATAAGATCACTTTGCAAAGGCCAGGTCAGTGACTAGCTGGGTCAAGCTCAGTTTTAAATACAAGACATTATGAGTCAAAAAGTGCAGAAGAGGGTGGAGACCCAACATTGCTTCCTAGAATATTTTTCACATTAAAGTGGTTCTTTTTAAGTCAAAACATGCAACCTCGTGTCCCAAAGATCACGTACACTTAGCCATTAACAAAAACAAACCTAGTTTTCCCATTCAATTTGCATAATTCCAGTAATAGTGGTAAATAATATCAATTCAACTGTAACACGGCGCCATTAAGCAGACCCTACTTTTAACTTGATTTTAGTAACTCCATAAATACAGGAGGTGAAATAATTTAAGGGAAAAAAAAATGTTCAGCAATACATCAGCAGCTAGATTTGTAAATGCTCATCAAAACAGTTAATGCAGTACAATCTGTAGCCTAA